TCAGCATCCTTCTGTAGAACCACATTTCTGTTGCCTCAAGTCTATTCTTCATCTGTCAGAAGATTGCTCATCATTCACTGCCTTATAGGACAGATACTACATAAGAGTTCAGTACTCGTCTTTGTTTCTAACGATATTTTTCCATTTCTTAATACTTTGCTTAACTTTTGGGAGGTAACTACCTGAGCTAATTAAGACCACACCGTTTATTAATTTCGCACTTTTCATGATTTAAATGATTTTCCAACCACCACTTTTATGAAGACCCCCCTCTTGATTGATTAAAGAAAGGTTAAGTATACAACCTAAAATAACGTATAAGAAATATATAAACCGTATCCAAAAGCGTTTTAGACAGCGCTCGAATAACAATCAATGATTACTTTAAAAACATTTAACCCCAAGCAAGGCAACAAAGCCACTAAAACGCAAGAGATTACTGTGCTAGACAATATTTAAAAAAACAAAACAAAAAACAAATGAAATTTTAAAAGGAGAGAGAACAATAAAAGAATTGATCTTCATTTGAATGCAAATTCGATTAGAAATCAAAAAGCTGGAAAAGTGTCTCACAAGTGTGAAGTGCAAGGGAAGAAACTGAACATAGAACTTACGGTTACATCTAGCACCTTCAACTGTAAAATGATGAAACCTTGCCATTAATCTAGTAGCGCAATTAAATTCATAAAATCTTGATAATATAGGGGAAAGTTCATCAGAACAATTACTATGAAAATATTATAGAAAGGATAGAAGGAAGAAGCTACGTTACGACGGTTTTGTTTACTGGTTTACACACATTTATTTTCGTTATATTTTTGCAAATGCTAGTCATTAGTAAGCTTAATTACGCGATATTAATGTTCCCTCCTTTGTATACCACGATTGCTGAATGATAAATGAGTGTAGACAGATGAGGAAAAGGCATTGGTCTGAAATACGAAGTTAGTTCAGAGCAATCTGCACAGACCACAAAAAAGATGGAGAATTGTCAGCACTCTGGTACTAGAAGTTTTTTTTTTTTTTTTAAATAATTGAGAATATTAGCGTAAGAAAATTTATAACATATTTGGCACTGTCTTCACATTGTTTTGAAAGTAAAAAAAAAACTGTTCTCCATTAGCGAAATTAATATTTGAGATACTTGTTAAAACACCGTGTTATCGATACTTACGCACCTACGTAGGAGGGGTGAAAAAATTTAGAAACGATTAATTTCTTTGGAACTGGTTTTTCCAATGAAAACATCAGATTACAGATGTGGGTTGAGTAAAAAAAAACAAAAAAAAAACAAAAAAAAAACACTTTCGATACTCCTTTCGCTTTCTCATATATATATATATATATATATATATATATATATATATATATATATATATATATATATAGTGCAGAAATCATAGTTCAATTTCTTCGTTCATTTGGGTATTCACATATACCTTTCTTAAGAAGCCGTCAAATTTCGCCATTCAAGATACCTTGAATAAAAGCAGCATAGTAGTGAGTTAAATTGGACTATGTCTTTTATCATGTGTATAGTTTGTTGGCGAAATGTAACGGCCAGAAAGAAAGGCATATGTGAATTAAAATGAACGAAGAATTGAACTATGATTTCTGCACTGCTAAATATACGAGCCATATATCGCAAAATCTTCATAACCGAATGACCCTCCATATATATATATATATATATATATATATATATAAACAATAATATCATTTCCAGACCAGAAAAAAAACCCCCTTCTGAATGAGAGATTAGAAACAATGACACGATTCATATACACTAAAGAGTTCCTTTTGAGTTCATACGAATCAGTATGAAAGTGTGTACATTTCATATTATCTCCCTCCCCATCTCCGATACAATTTCAATACTCTTGTCTTTCACCTCCCCATCTATTACGCTTCGCGTTATGCGTTTATTTATTTACTTTTAAATAATAAAGTATTAGGAAATTATTTAGCCTGGGTTGCAAGAAGATAACGAAAGGTTGAAATCAAGATAGCGTGATCGGCTGTTCCCAATTTTTTTTTTTTTTAATCTAAAAGCTCTGTGTGTTAAATTTCACATTTTATTTTCTTTATACGCGTATTGAGCACTTTTTTTAATAATACTGTTTCCTGGTCTAATTCAACTCTGACCAATAAGATTTTATATAAACATCTTCCGATATTATAACCTTTTCGTAATGTAAAACTATAAATTAGGAAAATGGGTATGGCAAAGAATGGGAATAGCTAAAATTAAAAAAAAAAAAAAAAAAAAAACTTTTTGGGGGTAATTTGAATAAAAAAATTTGTTTTCTAATAATCATATTTGAATTTTCCCTGTTCCCCCGTCAGTTAGCGCGTACTTTTCACCCAGACATTACCTTAGATAAATAATTGACCATTCCGTCTCGATTTTGAGCAAAGACGAACGAAAAATATTTCGAGGATGCAGTTGTGTGTGTAAGAAAGCGAGAATGAAAGAGAAGATATAATGCTTCAATGCGTTTAACGAAATGAAAGACCTTGTCAATTTCAAAACTTTTCATTTGTGCCCTTTTACTTCTTTAAATAATGATCCCTTATGATTGTTATTGCAATATTTTGTTAAAGTTGTTATGCTCAGATATTTAACGACGCAACAGAGTTATTTCCGCGGATCTTTTATAGTCATGTAACACGCAAAGAGCTCGTTCAAGCATTAATTCAAGAATTAAGATTCATTGGAAAACCATAAAATTCACACGGTTGCTGCTAGTAATTTCGAATCCATCGAATCGGAAAGGGGCGTGTATTGTGAGGGTTATTTCTAATACATTTTTTTAATATTTTGTATCCTTGTTATAGTGATTTTCCAAGCGTAGCTTAGATGTGGCACAATGCCGAAAGTAGTCGCACCCAGTGAGGATCGAACTCACTACTCGGTCGTAATTGTTCTAGCCAGACAAGCTTGCTAACCATTACACCACCTCGAGGTGTCCTGTATCCTTGTTATATTAATATTAGAGAGACCCGTAAAAATTTCACGGTGTTTTCAATTTGAACTGTCTGATGAATCTCAATTCTCAAGTTAATGATGAAATAAGCTAATGGTGAATTCTATGACAATAAAATATCCGTAGAAATTCCCCTATCACATCGTTAAATATTGAAACTTAACAACTTTATCAGAATAGTGCAATAACAATCATAAATATGAATGCTTGTCTTTCTTTTAAGAAGTGGGTACAAATAAAAAAAGAAACAGGCGTTAAACACTTCTATTTTCCCATCCATCCATCTTTCTTTCATTCATTCATTTTTTCACTGGAACCAAGTATATGTCTTATGTACAATCAAGACGGAATAGTCCATTATTTATGAGGTATTGGCAGGAGACTTTAAACACTTCTATATTCCCATCCTTTTCCGTCGTTCGATAAATGTGCGCCTGAAAAATGGATATTTTATTGGACCGCCATCATATCTTAGTCTTTTGATTTAAGTGTAGTATGTGTTCTGATCAGCTTAATCTGATTCTCTCTCACTCTCCACTTCTATCGTTCTTTCTTTCATTTTCCCACTATTGACAAGACGTAACGGTCGTGATAACTAACAAAGTGTTCAACACCCGTAATTATAATAGGATCCTTTTAATATGGTCGTAGGTGCGCATTTATTTCATTTTATTTTATTTTTTGCCAGTTCTGTTAGATTTTAGCATTTCTTAGAACACACCTATTATTCCAATACCCCCTTGTATTCGGTACACGAAAATGCTTAAAACGATGGTAACGGCCGATAATGTTATGTAACACAATGGCCGGCCTTGGATAGCAACTCTTATTTCCTATTTGCTTACGCCTATAAAGTATGAAAAATGGCTAATATTTTTGTCAAACTTTGCTTTTGTGACCAGAATAATGATATTTCTGAAATTTACTTATTATCATTGGGAAAACTGGCGAATGTGAATATTCTCGTTTATGTAATGTAGAAAGAAAGCGACATACGATTTAAAAGTAGCATTTATAGACATAACAGTATTGCATGTGCCGGTGCTTTCAACCTCTTGAAGCCACCTATGACGAATGCATCTATCAACGACTATTTATCTGCAGTTACACAGCTAGAAGTAAACTGAACTGTTGAGCTTACGTTCTTTGTATTTATAATGTTATTTATGTTGCCAGAGAGTTCTAGAAAATTCTCCTTCAGCAACCAAGCGCTGAATCTGGAATGTAATGGAAAATAGGCTAGTTTCAGAATATCAATATCTAGGCGACAAAAGCAAAGTCTGAAGAGGATAGTAGTCATTTCCTTTGCTTTCTTGACATAAGCAATCAGGAAATAATACTTGCAAAGCAAAGACCAAACCAAAAATTGTTGCACATTGTAAGCTGGTGTATATGCAAGCTGAAACAAGCGACAGAATAACACTAATTTCCAAAAATATTTAAACTAAATATTATTGTTATTAGCAAATCATTTAACTTACGCTCTCTCCTTTCGGTCCTTCTGGTCCAGGTTCACCAGGCCATCCATTGACACCATCTAAAATTAGAAAGTATTCCGTTATAGGGTGGCCTCTTTATAACAATGCTTAAGAGTTGAAACGACAAAACATTTAACAATAAAATTAATAAAAATTTAAAATAATTCAAATCAAAGCCATGGTAAAGAAAAAAAATCGTTCAAAGAGTAAAACATGAATTATCAAATTCAAATTTTCTTTTTAATTAATACACCCCAAGCAAGGCAACAATGCCACTAAGACGCAAAGGGCTGCTGGGAATGAAAGAGAATGAAAAAAAAAAAAAAAAAAAAAAAACTTTAGAAGGAACTGGAAATCCACTCCTAAAAAAGAAACCATGGCTAAAACTCTACTGCTACTCAAAAGACCTGGGAGGAGTGTGAACCGGGCGACTGGCGAACCCATCTACTCCTACATCTACATCGAGATGAAATATTGTAAGTATTTACATTATTTACAGAGTTCAAACTGTTGTCCTCATCTTTATTGCCACATTCACGATGTTTAAGCCTTTGTACGCCCCGGCTTCTTCAAGTGATATTTATTGGGATTTCGAACGGAACCTTTTAATTTAGTTCACGGGGTATATTGTTCTAATTCTATGTGCTATACTATTGGATATCTCAATTTTTTTTCCCTTTTTTGTCTCAACTCTTCAATTTTTTGTTCTTTCCGCTGAGGCCAGGGATTGAACTCACAACTATTTGGGTCAACTCACTTTTGGATCAATCAATCCGCTAAGCCTATTGTATACCAACAGAATTTTGAGGGACCTAAAAGGTGGGCATCATTAATTGCGGTTTCCTTGGATATCAACAGTCGAGGATTTAAGCTTTATCCAACGATGCAGGAGACTTTCATTCATAATTCAATCCTAAATGACTAATTGGTAACTCTACGTTCATAGGTTACGCCATTTTCTTCAGTATTTGCCTGCAAATAAAACTAAAAGAACCATCCAAAGACGGTGCTATGCCGGCAGGCGTACCTCTTGATGAAAGACAAGGCGATAAATGGTTACAACTTGATGTAAAGAATGCACAACTTCATTGTACATTGGAATTTTTTCCTAATAATTTCCCCACCAAGCAAGGCAATAAAGCCACTAAAGAGGAGTTACTGAGAGTTAAAGAATATGAGAAAAATATACTATTAAGGAGAGAGGAAAATAAAAGAACAAGAATTAACAAGATAGAATATAAGGATTGACATTGCATTTAAATTGTTGAAGATCAAAGTTGTTTGAGAAACAAGAAGCCGGAAGTTCCACAAGCAAAAAGTACAAAAGAAGAAACGCTTAGCATAGAACTTACGGTTACATCTAGCTATTTCAACTGTGAAATGATGAGACCTAGCTGCCACTCTAGTACTGCGTATCAATTCATAAGGTTTAGGTACCAAAGAAGAAAGTTCACCTAAACAATTACCAACAAAGTATTTATAGAAAAGGCGATTGGAAATTGACTGAAGGCGGGATGTCAGGTCAAAACTAATAACATTGAAAATTCTTTTGAATTTATCAAGAATCTCTAAATATATAATAGGAACATCAGACCAAATGTGGCCGTAGCATTCAAAGCAAGAAAGAATGGTAGATGTTAGATTCTGTCAAGAAAAATTGTCTAGCACGGCATAGTGAACCAACTTTCTTAGCTGCAGAATTAGAAATTGATTCAATCTACTTATTCCACTTCATATCAGCGGAAAAAGTTAGCCAGAGAAGGCGCAACGTGTTACTCTCCTGGAGGTTAGCATCAGCCATGCTTTTGAGAGAAAAAAAAAAGAAAAAAAGGGTTTTCTGAAATGATTAAAAGAGAGCAGTTTCGTTTTGGAAGCGTTCACATTAACAAACCACCCCTTGCCCCGTTTAACAACAGATTGTAGGTCATTTTTATTTTTAGATCAGCTACCAGTCTGACCATATCGAACCGATGAGACTTAATATTCAGAATTGTGTAAATAATTGACTTTCCCCAGACACCATAGCTCGGGATTCAGGAATGAATATTGGGGATCTGGGAGATAGCAATGCAGGACCGAACAGCGAGGAAAGGGATTTGTCAAAGGAGTTCTGACCAATCATAGGGAAGTTGGAGAATGATGACGATGAAATAATTGCGTCATCAGCATAAATACCGAACTAATGACATCAGGAAGGATGCTTCAAGGGAAATCATTTTGTTTTAAATTATTAAATTTAGGAAGCTAACATTTGTTTTCTTCTTTCTTTGTTTTCTTCCTTTTTGTAATCTAACAGAGTTAAAATATATTTTTTTTATAATTAAAGCGAAAATAAGCATTAAAAGTATCCTTTAAAAATTAACTTTCTTGTTTTTACTTTTACCATTCCGGAAAAAAAATTATATTTGGGGACGGCTTGGCTGTAAGAGTTGCCGGAGAGTTGTCACCGTTGACAGACAACCACCTTTAGGGCTCCACTCCGGGTTTTCTTCCATAGTTTTTTGCGTGTTTTCGATATGATCACAACGCAGCGGAGGTTTAAAAATCAATTTTCTTTTACGGAGAGGGCCTGCCTTCGTGGGGTGTCAAGCTCCACCCACTCGAAGCTACTGCTTATGAGGCCCCAGTTTTCCGCTTTTGTAGGCATGGAGCTGGTCTTTATTGCCAGTGGCTATTTTAGACACATGCAAAAGAAACATTTTATTGACAGTGCAAGCTTGACCCCATTATCACCTATGACAACCCTTGGAACATATATAATATACGTATATAAACATTATATACTTTGTATTTTAGAAGATCCCAAAAGATTAACGTTTATTAAAAAATATATAAAACGTTAGGAAAACTACACACACACACATATATATATATATTATATATAAAAGACATTTTTATCTTTATACGTTCTTTTTATACATACAAATATTTAAGTAAATGCTCTGTTTGTAATAAACAGTATTAACAACATTTACCGGTCTGAATGTCCGAGAAATTTTCATAGAAAATATGCGTCCTCCGACAGGAATCGAACTTGCATCCTACACGGAAATCGGCATATAGCCTGACGTGAGTTAAAAGATTGGGCCACAGAGGAGCGTTCGGTTAGCAAGGTCGATTTTACTGTTTTTAAACACAGTTCTCCATGATGTTCTCTCATTGATTCATATCTGCTCAATGCGTATCCAAATGTAAACAAATGACGTCATACATAGACAAAGTCCGACAATTATTTAAGACAGTTTCTATTTTATTATTTCATAATATATATATATATATATATATATATATATATATATATATATATATATATATAATACCATTATTAGTTTCTATTTTCATTAAAACCTTAGTCGAAAAACTTCATACCTTAAGGTTTTCCAAAATAAATTCCAATTTTTGGTAAGGTTTATCTGACAGAATATTAACATATTAATAATCCTTAATAATGTTTTTTCTTTTTCTCATATTCTTTCACGCACAGTAACCTCTTGTTTTTCGATTGGCTTTATTGCCTTGCTTGTAGTTGAAAGGATTATATAAACACCTATACTAGGGATAATCTATGAATTAATTAAAAAAATGAAAAATAACAATACTTACCTTTACCATCGACACCAGCCCGCCCGGGTTCTCCAGGATAGCCAGGTCGACCTGCGGGTCCTGGAGGTCCTTGTACACCTCTGACACCGCTGTATTCAAAGTCACCCGATGAGTCTGAATCGATAAGGGTGCTATGATAGCCGCCCCTTCCAGGGGGTCCCGGTGGACCAGGAAGACCACGTGGACCTATAATTCCAGGTGAGCCTCTTTCACCCGGAATACCAACCCCAGGTTCTCCCTACGGCACAAAAAAGAAAAGCAATTGGTCGAGTCGTAAATAATTTTCGTTTATGTTTTTATCAACTTCATTCTTCAAAAAAAAAAAAAAATGAATTACAGTTACGTCTTATTATTTCCAATGACCTGTTGCAGCTTATCAGGCAGCTCTTCGATAAATTCTGCAGCTTTTGATTGGGGGAGGGAGATTTTTCAACGAATTCCTGCGTCTGGTTTGCATTGGCGAAAGTTTTTTTTTTTTTTTTTTTTTTACCCCGGATGTGTTTTAGAGCGATCGAAAAAGACAATTAGTTGGCGCAAGGGAAAATGAATATGGAGGGTGCGGTAAAACAGACCAACCTAGTTTCCAGTTATGGTTGCTGTATGGATTCTTGCGCTGTTATGGAAAACATTTTTCCCATTGAGTAGCGTTTTTAAAGAAAGATTTATGGACACATTGCAGCTGCTGGACGTATAAATGTGCATTTAATCCTTCACCGCGTTTTAAGAACTCTAAATGTAGTAATGGGGAGTAATGGTTAGCGGCTCAGATTGAGAGCCGAGTTCGAATTCCGGTCGAATCCATTACATTCACTTACGTGCTAATACCCTTGGGAAAGGTATGAATTAAACACTGTCCTCCAGTAAATGGGTAAATAGCAGGAGAGACCGAGCACTATAGCCTTGGTTGGCAACCTCTATAGGAGAAGGAAAACTGAATTCAAAGCACCTGCTGCCTTGTAAGTCCTTCCTCTTTAATTTCTGAGAGGAAGGGCGGGATAACCTCAACATTCTCGGCTCAAAAGGAAGCGGTCATCAATTACATTATTCTGCCTTAAATGTCACCATGAACCACAATTGTGAGATGGAGGGGAGCGGTGACCACAGCGGCGGCGAAAAATACGTTAATTCAATAAATGATGAAATAATAACCTGATAAACCCGCCACATGCACAAGAAAATCTTTCTTCCATGGAGATTAGCTTTTGGGTTTTTTTTGTTTTTTTTTTGGTGGAGATTTATTATTGTCAATTACCTTTTGCTTTGAACATTGTCGTATGTTGGTGTCCTTCAAATTAATTAGGAACTGCCACTTATGATTAGTAGTTAGGTGATAGATTTGTCACTACAATTGGTTCCCAAAAGGCCGGAAATTATTTTTGACTCAATCTAATAGTTAGATAATGATAAAAAAATTAAATAAAGATTTCTCCTCGTTGAACTTCCCGTTCCTGTTGAGGAGAATTATAGTTGGCGAAATATGAGAATCTGTGAAAATTTTCTGGTAATGATAACTTATTTACCAGTGTGGAATCGAAATTCATCAGAAACTATTTCTGTATACTTGACTAAATTTGAGGTAAAATATTGTTACGTACTTAATACATACAGTGCTGTAGTTAAGTATATATATATATATATATATATTCATTTATTCTTCTTAATTTTTTTTCTTTTCAGTACATAAATTGAATTAAATTTGTCGAAGTATATATCCATGTGCTTTAATTTTAAACATTATCAAGGATGAATTTTATTTTAACTGAATATAAGGATTGTTTTATGTATGTATCTAAAGTTATAAGAATGTTTTATCTCCCAAGGACTAGTTTTATTTTCAGCTATGAACACGGCCGCAATATGCTGACAGTTTTCCAATTAAGGAAGAGATCAAGTAGAAGAAGAATTCTAGTTGCTAGATTTGATTTAACTGTCCTTCGCCATGAGATTTCTGGGTGACCACTTTTCTTTTTGATTTATTGGAAATATAACAATGTCAAAGTGAATATACCTTGAGTCCGATACCTGGTTTACCAGGCTGTCCTGGGGGTCCCATCAAACCAGTACCGGGGTTACCCTGAAAGAGAAACAGAATGATGAACGATAAATGGACAAAATGATTAAGGAAAGCTAGAAAAAAAAAGCTGTGTACAGTAGTTTCATTTTATCCTTGGAAAATGTTCTAAGAACTTCAGCTAATAATTGAAACATTTTCTACGCTTACATAATTAAGATAAACTTTGATTTATGAATCAGACACAATTAGGGATTAACAACAATAATCAATAATAAAACAATTGTAACAATAATAGATGTTATGTGACGGCTGGAAGATTCGTTTTTACCGTCGATATTATTAGGCGTGGTAAGACATTAACAATAAATAGGACAATTATAACAATATACAGTAATAAAAGCTATGTGACAGATAAAATGTCCACTTTACCGTCGATCTTATTAGGGACAAGAGAATAACAACAATAACCAAATGTGAAATAGATTTTAGCGTCCCATTAGCAAAATGACCTTCAAGGTCATAAAAGTATTTTAACTTGTGTGCGTCTCGGTTCAAACAAATCTTATTGATAGTAGGTTATCGTCTTTTGATGTAATGAGCTTCAAACAAACAAACAAACAAACAAAAAAAAATTAAGCGTCTTTTGCAGTTAGAGTGGCAGGATAAGGCTCCATTGCCGACAAAAATCTGTCGGAAAACAGAAACGGTACCGTGGATTTCTGTCATGTTTTCAAATGGTGGTGCTTTGCTCAGAGACGAGAAGGCAAACTTCATGAGAAAAAAAAAGTTCTTTTACTCAATATATTCAGAGCTTCCTCAAGGGCAAGAGAACTGATATGTAAGTTTAGTCTTTTGTGAAATATTATTTTACGGAAAGTTTCCTTAGTAACCACGAAGATGAAATTTAATTTGTTGTAGTATACGATGAAGTGTTTTTTTTTTTTAATCTGCAGGTGTTATATATCTATATTTTTATTGCCTTAAGATCCTTTATATAATCCAGCAGATGGGAAAAAATCATTTAAGATTCGTTTTTCCGGCGTTCCATTTAAGAGAACAGGTTTTAAGCGAAGTTTTATTTAATCCATTTATGCCCACCTTAAAACACGAAGTTAATTATAAAAATTAAGTAAAAACCTGGTATTGATTATAAAAATTAATTTAAAACCTGGTATTGATTACACTAGTCAACAAAAATAAAAAATTGAAATAGTGTCGAGGCACCAAACATATTTTAAAACTAATTTGGAGGACGCTGAATCTGAAAATGACCTTGCTTTTTCTTGGTGACCTACCGTTTTTGCTGTACAGAAATGCCTCATTTTTGATAAAAAACAAAAGTTTTTTTCATTTTTCTGTATATATGATATTGATCGATGGCAATATTTCTCAAAATAAAATCTTAGAAACCTCTCAATTCGTATTTAAACCAACAAATATTGGTCTGCTTATTGAGAAATACTATTTTTGCAATAAAAATCAGACCCCAAGTCTTTAAAAATAACACGATTGAATATATCAAGACCAACAAGTATTTTCATCAAATCATTTAATAAACTAACAGCAGAAATAAAACCTTCGTGAACATAAGAACTACGGTAAAAATTTTCTCTTTCTTGATTGTCTGTCATGTTCAATGTTATTTAAGTCCTTTTTGATACTCCAGTATCATGTATAATGGAATAGGTGCATTCAATTGGAATGTCTTTAGTTGGAATTTCTTTCAAACTGTGAAAACAAAATGTCTTCAATGTGCTTGGTTTCCTTCCGTAATGATGAGATAAATTTATGAACAGAAGGTTTCATTTTTTTTTTTTTTGACGTCACCTTAATTATCAGGTTTATTAAAGTGCATTACTGATAAAGTTTATCAGTTAATTTGAATTTGGAAAATTTGGATAAATTGGAAAAAAATCAGTACTTCTATTTTTAAATTTTTGACTCAAAAACACTTTTTCTCATAAAATTAGTTCATTTCAGACATAAATTGCTTGGCCTACGTGAAAACTGATGGGTTTCTACGACCTTTATTAATTAAATTTTGCAATCAGCCGATATCGTAAATTGATCTATTTTCCAAAACAAGTAATTTCAGTACAGAAAAAAATGGTAGGTAACCATGAAAAACTAAGGTCATTTTCGGCATCAGTACCGTTAAATTAGCTAAAGAACGTGTTTTGTTTCATAGCACCAAGAATCGTGTTGGCCAGTGCTATACGTTTCTAATAATAATAAACAGTATTATTCTATATAATTAGAACACTTTAATTACAAGTTTCTATTTATAAACCATTTATGCCTACGCCCCAAAAATGAGGTAATGGACAATAATGTGTTTATACGAGTCATGGGTAAACTACAGAACAGTCATGGGACGCATGTCGCCAGTTCTGTCTTTTGGAATGGCGCGCATAGATTCATAAAGAAAAAAAAAAAAAAAGAGAAAGTGTCTTAACATTATGCTTCCTTTCGTTCTCACTTATTCACTCACAGACTCTCTCATCCATAAACAATGATTAAGTAGAATGTTCCCTGAATATTGTAAACTTTCGTTGAAAATAACGTCTTAATCAATTTAAATGATTGTCGGTTATCACTACAGATGATCATACGTGTAAACATCTTTTGCTTTTCAAACACGAAATATTCATAATAATATTTTCTCTAAAGAATAAATGTTTTTAATTTCAAATGAATAAATTAAAAAATCACACGCAGCGACATGTGGTAATCACACAGTCATCAGTGATAATATTATACCATGACTTTATAGACTTTTAACTATAGAAAAATTCCCTCGTTTCTAAGGCACCGGGTGTTCGGAAAGTTACTCTGCTCTTTTCTAATCATATTTTTTTATATTTCAGGTCTCACCCAAATATGGTTTTAACAACATTATACATAAGTAACTCTGAATTTATTCAATCCTAACTGAAGTTTTAACATTATTCCTAATTTTCATTAATATTCTCCTCCTTTATTTGATATTGAAACATGTCTATTAAAAAAAAAAAAAAAATATAGGTGCACAGTGACTTTCCAAAAACCCTGTTTATTCTTACACATATAGTCTACCGTAGCGAAAATAGTGGAGTTACCTATTACGGAAAATTACCTGGAATCTTTTTAGTGGTGCGTTCCGTTGCTCGAAAAAGTTGCCCTTGCTTGGTTTATGCCAAGACGAATGGTGTGTGTATATATATATATATATAAGAAAGAGGTTGTAGTGGTTCCAACGAGAGAAAAGTATGTATATTAAAAAGAAGAGAAGAGAGGTGCCGAAACGTTTTTGGTTGTAATGTGGATTTTTTTTTTTTTAGAAAAAAAATATTTTGCTTTATTTTCCATAATTTTACTACACGTGTTTCTGGTCTCGCGATCGTCTTCAGGTAAAAGGCGAAGATTTCCACATATTATTAAAAATAATTAATTTTTTTTCCTTATGTTTTTCAATGTTAAATATTCTCGATATGAGACATTCTCTGTTTTTGTGTTCGTAATCCGAATGTAGAGTGGGGGCATAATTAATCAGGCGTTTTTTAAAACAATATTTATTATGAAAAAAGAAACAATTGAACAATGACATTTTAAAATGATTCTGCGTATGTTTATCGACAGGCATTTTTATAACCTCAAAATAAAATATTTTTATTAAAAAACGGAAAGAAAACAGTAATTTTTATTAACAAATAACTCGCCCATAGAAAGAGAGATAGAGAGAGATAGAGAGAGAGAGAGAGAGAGAGAGAGGATAAAAGGAAACTATTATACAAGACTTCAATCGCTAAAATTTAATTAAACAAGTGTCTAAAAAAAAAAAAAAAAAAAAAAAAATGGTGCCAGTACCTTTGGTCCGATGTCTCCTTTTTCTCCCTTGGGTCCAACGGCTCCATGACCACTATAACCACCAGCCTCTCCCTTTTGACCCTTTTGTCCGACCACTCCAGGAAGTCCAATGGCTCCGGGTATTCCTGGTTCACCTAGAAAAGATAGTAAAATTGTTGTTTATACCAGGGGATAGCGAAAGAGCATACGTGCGTTGATGGATTGGAACCAATATCAACAGAAATAAACATCCTAAAATAAAAATATAACCCTCAGACAGAACCGATCAAGCAAAAATCACCCAATTAAATAAAATAATAAAAAAGCCGAATTTTGAAGTTATTCAAGCTAAACCTATTCTTGATAATTTTTTGCTTACATAGTGTTTGCTATTGTAGTGAATACTGGGCAATTTCCTCACAAAAGAAAACAAGACAGGAGATAACAGAAATGTTGCTCTACAGAAGGATGCTGAGAATACCAATGATGGAGCGTGTAAGCAACGAAGAAATCTTCAGGAAAATGGAAGCAAAAAGGACACTTAGAATTAGAAAAAGCTGAAATATCTTGGCCGCACAATGAGGAAGGGCTTGGTGAATTTGACACCCACAGGATATATTGGGATGGGGTGGACCAAACAGAGGGGAACAGCAGCAGGACACCTATCTGACCAGCTTGTGCGAATGGATGGCGGAAAGGGGGAAGGGATGGCAACCAGAGAAACGTTAGTAAGAGCTACAAGAGATAGGAAGTTGTGGAGAGTCATAATCACTCACATCATGAATGAACAGTAGGAGAAAAAGTGTCTCTAGACAGATTACCAAGAAGTCTTCGAAAGAACATGGTATTTCCAGTAGAAGCTCTACAAAATCTTCACTATAACTTCTTAAAAAAAAAAAAAAAAAAAAAAAAAAAAAAATTGCTAATTGGAAGAAATTTTTCGATCTATACAAGAACTAAAAATTATTTCTTCCAGTATTTCATAACTAATGAATTATGATTTTATTTGCTTCTCGCTGGGCGTCATAGATTACTCGGAAGATCAAATGGAAAAGTCAAAGAGGACTGCAAGTTTTTCAGATAATCTTTTTCTTAAACGGTCAAAGGAAGCTGTGATCAATTGTTATAGAAAGGAACAAATTCAGTCGACAAATAACAACCACCCCAACTAAAAATCTTTTTCTGAAAGTTATTTTCTAAATATTTACTAAGAACAAATAGGAAACGCATATCAGTCTAACATGTTTCACTTTTATTAAAGCTTTTTTCAGATATTGAGAGATAAACATTTTGTCTGTCTTCTCTCAATCTCTGACGAAGCTTTAATAAACGTGAAACATATTAGATTGATATACATTTCCTACTTGTTCTTTATTATATCATCCTGTCGGATTCTGATCTGCATTTGATCTTTAACTCTTATTTTCTAAGCTCATCTTAATAGAAGAGTTCAGCATGAAAATAGTAAGGGATACATTGAGTAACCAACTGGTGAACAGACATCAAGACCAATTAGCTGACCATAATACTTAACCAAGTGCCTTTGTTGGGAACAAGTGATGAGGTACCAGCTCACAGTGGGATCAGAAAAAGACATTTGGAAATTTTGGAACATTTCTCAAGTGGCATATTCTATATCTCGTCTGAAAATAGACCATCTCAGGATTTCAGAACTAACTTTGTTCTGACTCAAGTATTTGTAGAGTTATCACCGTTTTAAGTTGATCAAAACTAACACATTTAATTTCTTATTTTTAAGTTCTGCATCTTTTATGTGAGCAAAGTCACTGAAATCTTATTGTAATTATGTCTAATGTAAGAGTCAAGTTTAACTTGACACTCTTTTTAAAAAAATGATCTACATCTGGTGGTGTTTGGAGCCCGCATTAAACAAAATTCAATAAAATAGCAATTTGTCGTTTTTTTTTGTTTTTTTTTTAAATCTCTGATTACCAAATTTGACACTATCAAAAAATGCCGCAGACAAAATACTTTCGTGTTTGTAGTTTAAATTATCAATCAAATAATTTAAATTTACAAAATGTAAGAAAACTGTCCTCAAGAAGATATTTAAAACGTACCCAGTACCTTTGATATGTGGAATTGATTAATACCCGCTTTTGACGCCATATGCCGGACACCAAATATCGGTTTTCGATACAGTTTTCCTCGTATTTATAAAAAAAAACATAATCTAGACATCTATTTATTTTGGGGTGTTGAATCCATTTTCGGGACACCTCCCACAAAAAAAGTCTAAATGCGAAATTTAAGCCCTTTTCATGAATTTTGGTTTTTCAATATTGACAAGAAAATCTCAGTCAAAACTTCTATTTTTTTTTTTTTAAATTAGAAATAGACATTTTTAAAAAATCTTCCCTTTAGGTTCAAATAATACTAATACATTTTCATAATTGAGCTGAAAATCATTTAATTTGCTAAATGCCCGATTGTCTCAATTTTGCAAGATTACTGTTGTTCTTACATCAGTAAAAAAGGAATGTAAAGTGGTTCGACATCCATGCCAATTTTTGGTCATATTTTGACTGTTTTTGTCTCTGGCATTCGCGCAAAATTCAAATAACGCTAACGAAAATTGGCCAATATCTTGGTTCCTTCTTTTTTTTAATAATGTTAGTTCCCAAATATTAGAACAGTTTAAATATGCAAACTGTAAGAAAGAAGATATTTAAAACACGTTAATTAATTATCCGCTATTGGCGCCAATATGCTGGACACCAAATATCAGTTTTCGACATAACTTTCCTCGTATTTATCACAAAATCATAATCTTGACCTGTATTAATGTTTTGCGGGGAGGTGGGGGAGTGCTGAATCCATTTTTTGACACTAAACCCCCCCCCAAAAAAAACCCCAAAAACCAAACGATATCTAAACGAGTTAAGTACAAAATTTATCCTCTTTTCGGGAATTTTGCCTCTTCCCTCTTAAATACGAATAATAATAATTTTACTAATACAAGTTGTACTATTTAACCCATAGCTGGAGGGGAAGGTAGATTTTTCGAGAATTTTGACTAGTTACTTGTAGACGAGGATTGCGAAACCTAAACCCTTATTATTTGTACTAAAGAGGAAGATTTTTAAAAAAAAATAATAAACACAGTTCCATAATTGAGCTGAAAAACATTCAGTGGAACTCAAAAACACAAATACCCACTTGGTCCTATTGTGCGAAACCTCTGCGCAGTGCTCAATCGGGAAACCTTAAGCAAAAAACATCTGGACAGATGAAAGCCCTCTCATTAAAGTTAAGCGATAGTATAGGGCTTTCGTACCAATGTTATATCCCGAAGACACTGACCACAACATATGGCTAACGGTTAGCAGACTAAAAATACATGTACACAAGTCGGTATTTTCCAAATGTACAGGCAAACTGTAGATAGAAATAAGGACTTGTGGGTACGTTCAAGTTTCCTGAAAGTTATCTTCTTTTTGTAATGATCATTGGCTATATTTTTTGTGTTGTGTAACGTGAAAGTGGATTACGGCTGTCAGATTCAGCCTCCAAAAACGGTAAAAGGTTTTCTGAAACTATGTATGTATTTTAGAGTTGTATCACAACTCGCTATGGACACGTAGCCGAGTGGTTCGAATCTCACGATTTGTCATGAAGGAGACTTTCTGATGTTATCGGAATGGAGGGATCGATCCCAGCGTGCGGTACCTTTTGAAAGTGCCCGAAAACCATACCACGGGTTGACCCAGCCTTGTGAATGAAATTGGGTAAACGGAACACTTTGGTGGGGGGGGGGGGCTTCGATAGCTGGGCTAGCACGAAGTCACAAGTCATCGTGGCCGAGTGCTCGAGTGTGCAAGCCTTGTTCAAATTGTTGATCACGCTAGATAACACGCTCTTTCTCAGAAACTGTAACTAAGGTTTGCTCAGCATAGTTGCAGTATAAGCTACGGGTTGGCTCTGTGGGGGTTGAATAAACACAAATGCGCCTGAGCAAGCCACCCTAGTAGACGGTATACTATCTTAACTCAGTTGTCATCAGTGTGTGTATATATATATATATATATATATATATATATATATATATATATATATATATATATACACACACACACTGATGACAACTATTTACTCCTGCCTGATCAGTTTGAGAGGCTCAAATTGGCAGCTGGCTCAAAAGTGACCTACACTGTTGTTAATTGGGGTTTGTTAATTTTAACGGCCCCAAAACAAAACTCTTAATTGTCTGAGAGAATCTTTTTCGCTTTCCATCAGCACAGGAAAGTTACTCCTAGCGACTTGTCGAGCTGACGTTTTCCACTCAGAATGAAGTGGAAAGATTATATTTATCAAAATGCGAGGTTTGCTGCTAGGAAAATTGGTCCACCGAATCGTGCTAGACAATCTTTCTTGCCAGAATCTAAATTAGACATTTATAAGTCTACGACACTTTCATGCATCGAATATTACTGCCACATACAATCTGGTGGTTCTGTTATGTATTTAGAGATTCTTGATGAAATTCAAAGAAGAATATGCAATGTTATTGTTTCTGATCTGGCATATCGACTTCAGTCACTTTCCCACCGCCATATGATGTAGCTTTCCTCTGCCTTTTCTATAAATATTTTCGCGGTGGCAAGGTTTCATCATTCTACAATTGAATTGGCTAGGTGTAACAGAAAGTTCTATGCTAGCAGTTTCTTCTCTCGTACTTCCCGCGCGTGGAACTTTTCCTGCATCTTGCTTTCTAGACATTTCTGATCTTCAAAAATTTGAATGCAATGCCAACCATCATCTTCTGTCTTCTTGATACATATTATTTTATTGTTCTCTAACCTTAAGCTTTTATTTTTCTCATATTCTCTCACACTCAGTAACCGCTGGCGTCTTAGTGGCTATATTGCATTGTTTGTTATGCAATAATTAAAAAAAAAATTCCTCTTGAATAAATGTTTCATTAACAATGGCTGACAACGTACTTTTGTTTCCTATAAGTGTAAAAATCGGTTCATCCAATGAACATGAAAACTGGATAGAAATAGGCATTTGTATGTATGTTCAAGTTTTCTAAAAATTACCTTTTTTTTGTAATGATCGTCGGGTAATTATGTTTGTGTCGTGCAACGTGAGAGGGGGATTATGTCAGGGTTAGAATCAGCCTCCGAGCAGTAATCCCTCTCCAATAAAAAGCGAATATTTTTAACTTAATATAAAAACAACGAAAATGAGAAAATTGACTGCCAATTTCTCATATTTCCTGATCAGTGTACTGAACAATTACAGGAAAAGGTTCATCTACGAAACTCTGGAGTCGGGTTGCTGAATATAACAAATCAGCTAAGTGTCAAATTTCGTATATATATATATATATATATATATAAAGAAAAACAGATCACTTTAATGCACCATTGTAATAGTTTATTTCACCAGAGACCCTTTAAAGTACCCTGGAACCTCAGACATCACTTTCCAAATGTGAAACGAAAAATGAAATGAAAATTTACACTTTTGACGGGTAGTATTAAGTTTAACAGAGAGGGTAGCGGGGAGTGGTGTGAGAGACATGGTAGAGTTTAGAGAGTGTTTATTTTTATATTTCTTTGTATCATACTTAATATTGAGATCATATATATATATATATATATATATATATATATGTTGTGTATTGGAGCAGCAACGTTTCATTTGTTCGAGTTTTGTTTAAGGCCAAAGGAGGCTCTTTATTAAGGATACATATTTGTTGTAATTTTCTTTATTTCGGGCCATATTCCTGGTTTCCGTTCTAAATTCGAACATAAATTCTTCAATGTCTGAGTACTTGTAGTCATGACTATGTATTTTGTTTTTCTACAGCATGAAAGTTTCATAATTTTTTTTTTTTCTGATGAAGACACCTTATGTTTCATTTGATTTTAAATATGGAGTCTTCACGCGTCAGCAATAAAATCAAACGTCTGTTAGGTGAAGGAATATACGATTCCTCCCACCCCTAAAAAAAACAATGGCCCATGTGTGTGTGAACGATGAAAAGTATTAAATTATCTCGGGCCTACCTTTTCTAGCAGATGGTGGTGGTGGAGGCGGCGGGGATATCATTGGTGGCAAACCTGGTGGTCCTCTTTCTCCTTTTTCTCCTTTGTCTCCTTTGAAGTACCTTGGCTATAAATAAATAAAAAAAAATACATTTATAAATTTGTAAACTTAAAAGTTAACACGTACAACACGAGCAGCTTCCGACATATTCTTTTTTGAAGGGGGTGAATGCCAGACATTTGCCGAAAGTACAAATGTACTACAAAAAATGTACAAATGGAAACTTCAACGAAGAAATTATTTGAACCTTTCAAGACACGGGCTATATTTCTCTTGTTTCAATTTAAACAAAATATTTAAATTTATAAACAAACTGATCTCTATGAACTAGGTCTCACTTTATTTAAGATCAAATTGGGAGCAGATCTCAAAAGTGACTTAAAATCTCCCCTTAACTGGGGCAAAGAATGGCTTGTTAATTGTAACGCACCTAAAACAGACAAACAAAAAAAAAAAAACACAAAAAAAACAACAACAGACATAAAAAACAACAACAGAAAAAAACAGACAAAAAAAACAACAGACAAAAAAAAAAGCAACAGACAAAAAAAAAATAAACAAAAATAATAAACAAAAAAAAACAACAAAAATGCTCTCTTTTAATCATTTGCGAAACCCCTTTCTGTCTTTTATCAGCATGAATAATGCTAACCTACAGGAGAGAGACACGTTTCACCTTCTCGAGTTAACATGAAGTGGAAAGATTATAACGAATCCATTCCTCGGTATTCTGAGAAGAAATTTGGCTTACTGTGTTGTGTTAGACGACTGCCCTCTATTAATAATCTGAGAGACCCCTTTCTGCCTTCCATTAGCATGGCTGATGCTAGCCTACAGGAGAGTGACTTGTTTGGCCTTCTCGAGTTAATACTTTCGGCTGACATGAAGTGGAAAGATTATATCGAATCAATTCCTAGACATTGTGAGAAGAAATTTATCTCACTGTGTTGTGCTAGACGACTTTCTTTCCAGAGTCTATCTTACATATTAATACGTCTACCATTCGTTCATGCATTGAATATTGATTCTACATATCGTTTAGTGCTCCTGCTATATATTCAGAGACTCTTGATAAAATCTCGGCTTCAGTCACTTTCCCCACAGTTGTAATGTAGCTTTTCTGCTTGCTACTTTGACTTTACTAATTTAAGCGCAGTACTAGATTGGTAAAAAGATTTCATAGTTTTATAGCTGAATTGACTAGATTTAACCGCAGGTTCTATGCTAACAGTTTCTTCTACCACATTTCTCGCTTGTAGAACTCACTTCCGATTTCTTGCTTTCCAGGCAACTTTGATCTTCAAAAATTTAAATGCAATGTCAATCGTTTTCTACTGTCTTCTTGATTCCTCTTCTTTTATTGTTCTCTCTCCTTAATAATGTTTTTCTTTGTCTTATTCTTTCAAACTCTGTAATTCTTTGCGTCTTGGTGGCTTTATTGCTTTGCAAGGGGTGAAATGATTAAAAAAAAAAATTTACAACTTCAATTAAACTGTTTTTCCATAGTTACGACATATCCAAGAATAGGATTACTCCAAGGATGGAATAGTCACAGTGGAAAGCAAAATGTTTGTCGCAAAAATATGCAGAAAATAAAAAAAAAAAAAAAGATGTGAAAAATGAAAACCGTTAAAACATCCCGGGCCGATCGACACCTCGCCGGGCCGATCGATTACCGAAAAAATTCGTTAGTAAAGTTTGACTTTGAACATTTGTCAATCTTCTATCTGTTAAAATAGCATGCCATCTCAGTCAAATGCATCATCACTTATTTAAACCAAGGTTGTTCTTTAGTATTGTATTAGGGACTGAAAAGTGTTTATTGTGGATATGAAGCTGTTGAAAAAAAGATGTCCCAACTTTTACGATATTATAATCATCCTCTTGCTTAAGAGACCTTTGGTCTATTGTTAACCGATGCAGGCAAATACAACTAAGGGACTGCAAAATTTGAAAGAGTTTTCAAGACTAAAACATGTACTAAAGATATAATTAATAATCATTTAAGCGGCCTTGTGGGTGATGTCATTTGCCGCTCTGAATCTTATGACACAATATCATAAGCCCATTATTACAATCACTATTTCCATAGCAAATGTTCAGATGGGCTCCTTTATTTAGTTTCACCAGTTCAGACTTTTACGAGTAGGAGACAAAATACCAAATCCAAGGCGTCGAATCATCCTCATTTCCTGAGTGGTCCAAATGTAAGTTCCATTTACGCACATTTAACCTCCAGAAATGTCAGTTACAAAAAAAAAAAACTCCCGTGTCTTCTTCAACTTCCTTGAACACTTGAATTTTGACCTTTTCAATTAAAATTCAATCTCAATCGTCACCTTTCCTTCTTATCCTCATAATTCTCTTCCATTCATATAATAGGGCAGGTTGGTTTATCCATTGTCTCCTGTTTAGGATTGGGTTTCCGGACCCTTTTAAAGTAGTTTCATACTCTTTTACTTCCGGACCGTTGTATAGCGAGGCAGGTTGACTTTCCACTTTCTTTTAGAAAATTAACGCTGCACTCAATGCAAAAGCTGGGATTTAATGCGATTAGTACTGACACCAAATATTTCATTCATAGCTTTCATCAATTTTGTCGCATTTAATGTTAAAAGATCGACTGAAAAATATATAAGAAATATCTAAATTCCGCAGGTTTTTGCTTAAAAACTGATTTTAAAATTTTACTATTTCCAGAAAAAAATCCAAATAAAGTTAATATCTTTTGTATTAGATACATTTAATGGAAACATATTCAAACCAGAATTCTAATTATGAATCACCACAAGCAAAATATGCAATTTTTTTACTGTATTACATAAGTTAAAACTGTAAAAATAATGTAAAACATTACAACAAAAAAAAAAAAAAAAAAAAAAAAAAAAAATGAAAAGGCTACTCAATGAATAAGATTTGTTAGATAATAACTAATAAAAACAAAACATAGATAAAAGTGTATATAACATCATAATACTGCTGGACACACATAAGATATAAATTTAAATTGTTCAAAGAAAATCACAAACTACTGCAGTGTATAATATATTTCATCGTAATATAGCTAAATTGTTCAGGATAACGTCCCTTTGAAGTAAATGAAGGTCGTATTTGATGGCACAATGATTTAGTAATAATGTGCTTGTGCCATACATTTTGTCCATATACAATTTGTAAAACTACAGTAAATTATACATTTTATAAGGCTGTGCTATGAGGCTTCCAATGATTACTGGAATGAATTGCCAACGCTATGGTTTTAAACCTAAACTTAATCATTAAACTGGTTTCCTCAAAAAACTAACGAGCTGGAAAAATATTTTGTGTCGTTATTTATCATGTCAAACCCCAACGTTCAAATGGAGTGCAATACCACGGTTCCAAAATCGACCTACCCTAGTGTCCATAAGAAAAGCATTATTATTCAATAGTCTCCTCTCCAAAAAATCTTCAGAAAGTTAATTCCAAAATCGGCTCTATCTTTGGGGAGGATCATTGCAAATTGAATACAATAACACGGGTCCCAAATCGACATCTGCCCTAATATCAAATTTTTGTATTGGGTGAACTTAGTATATCAAAATATTTCTTAAGTCTTTAATGATCTCGTCTCGCAAAACATTGTTTATACAGATCGATCTCCATAATTTCATTCTAGACAAAAAAAAAAAAAAAAAAAAAAAGAAAGAAAGAAAGATCCACTTACATAAGGTGGTCTTGAAACTTTGTTGATAAGATCGTCAGTGTCGTCCGTGCCGCTTCCAGAACCGCTTCCATCATCCACCTATAGCAAAAAGAATAAGGAAGAGTGCCCAAAATGTTTGATTTCGTTCGATTGGTTTTCTTTAACGGCATATCAACATCTCTAGCGGTTATTTAGTGCCAAAATCTAAGTATGAAAATTCAAACTTTATACTTAATTCAAGAGAATGACATTATTTTGTGATTAAATTGCAATTAGCTGCATTTTTTTTTTTTACCAAATAATCTTAAAAATAAAACGATGGCCGAAAATTGTTTCTCCTAATAACATATAAGATTAATCAAAGCAAAATTTTTTGGGACAATGTAAGCCTCGTTTTCAATTTCACTATAAATATGTATTGTTAGTAATTTCACTATAAGTACGTATCATTTGTAAGTCTTTTTATAAAAAAATGTGTTGGTCTTTTTAGTATAAAAATGTATTTTTATATTTTCCTAGTGTTTGATTTTTGTTGGGGGAAGAACTATTTGTCCATAGTTGGGCCCCTAACAGATGCTACGACCCTGGACTCAGAAACAACAACAATGAAGAAGTGGTTTCACGTTCCACAAAACCTCCAGTCTTTCGTTTAAAGGCCTTGCTAATTTATCATCCTATCCAGGACGGGTGTCCAAGATGTAAATTTAGTCCGTATTGTTCTAAATGTGAGACAAAAATTGAGAAACATCCTTGGAATTGCCCGCATTGAAAGAGGCTGCGAACTTATTGGATATTTACAAAGATTATGATAGAGACAGGATATGTGTGGTAGAGTAACGGTTATCGACGCTTTAAATTGAAATTGGCTAAGACAGTTCGAATTCTGGCCTATTATATTTTTATTTAGTTTAATTTCAGGGACGGCGTGAACACATGTGTTTTCCCTTTAGCTAGAAGTCATATAGCAGAGTTGACTTGAGTGAAAGCCAGTCTAAGAGAAAAAAAAAGCTGAATTCAAAATTGTGGTGAAGGCAACGGGAAACTACTTCACCATTTTCAACAAGAATTTATTGCACTTCCTGGATAATAAAAAAAATAAAAAAATCTGTAGAGAGTCATGATCTCTTACGTCCTGGAGGGAAAAGGCATTTAACAAATATGCAAATAGAAATTATATTAATTTGCATATGAACAGGATGTCTTGCATTTCTATCAGACAATTCTTGAAACAGTCGAAAATAGCATATAAAGTCACTCATCACTTGACCAATTTTCGTTCCAACGATCTGGTCTTTAAATGATTTGGTTGCTAAATGAGAGGTTTCACTTAACCGCGATTTCAAACACGTCACCCGTGTATTGGATTTGTGTCGACCTGCTTTAAATAGCTGTAATATCGCCTTTTCGCTATCTGTAACATTTCTAATTTATTTTTAAATGTTTTGTGTAATGAGCGGTAAGCATAATGAACAAATCAAAAACCAACTATTCTGTATATTATTCGGTTTATGTACTGTAAACATGGTACAAGTTAAATTTTATTTATTCATTTTATTTTATTTATTTGTATTCATTCTGATCCCGAACGTGTTTCCATGATAACATTTTCGTACAAAGTACAATACCGACTGGTTGAATTAAAAAAATACTTTTTGAGATTCTATATCTGGTCTTAAGTCAGAGCTTTTCAAACAAATAAGTCGTTAATTGAAATGTGGCTTTATTAATCTTGAGAGAAAAAAAAGAAAAAAAAGAAAGTGGTATTAGGGATGAGAGATCCAGATCCTTTTCACTCTATTAATTGACTTCAACCTGAATGACCAGGTGTTCGTACTCACCACAATTGGCCAATTGCGAATTGGTGAACGTAATGATTTGATTGGAATTTGAACTGCTCTCTGAGTCCTCAATTCGAACCGCTAACTATTACGCCACCGTGCCTCCGATATTAATCTTTAATGATTTAATATTTCAGCCAAAAGTCTTAATCCGTTTATAATTTTATTATATTTACTGATCCAAAATTTTGGAGATTCAATTGTCACACATAGTACTGATCCCACTAAATCTCATACCATAAAAAAAGCGTTGAGCCCACGAGAGCCACCTGTATCCCTCCAGCTCTCACGGTCTCGGCAGAGCGTCGGGACATCCTCTTGCGCCAGATTAATCTGCTAAAGGTCCTGCGGGACTTGCGACGTTCAACCGGCTGTACTGCGAGGTCGTCGCCCGCTTCCTGATGGCGGGTCGGACTAGTGGATGACTCTGGTAGGGTGGTCATCGAAAGATGTGACGGATCCAGCGAGCATAGCACTGAGCGATGGTGTGGAGGAAGCTCAGCTGATTGGTCCTCTTGTGGAGCTCCTCACTGGAGGCAAGATAGGCCCAGTGCACCACCTCGATGGTCTAGATAGTAGGGAAAAATCAATGGGAAAAAAAGTCAGTGCTATTTTTATATAAAATAGGTAATTTGCTGATTACTCCAATTTATCTCTGAGTCCTTGTCTTAACGCACCCTAGATGATTTATAAAAAAAAAGTATAAAAAGAGAGATGATAAACTTTATTCTTTTTTCTTTATTCACGGCGTAGTATCTGTTCTGTTCTCATTTTAGATGGAGGAAGCAGCCCGATCTTGAGTACTCCAACCCAGCAGCAGTACCTTCCTCATTGCACTAAGAGAGTTTGGGTCTTTGTAATATCGACGCCAACGTTGCAGTGGTTGCACGGATTGGGCAATTTTTATCCTTGGACTTTAAGCTTATGCACAGGTGCCCCACGTAAAAAAGACCTTGCGTCAAATCTTGCCTTAGTGGGGAGGTCAGGTAAATGCATTGGGCCTAAGCTGTTGCTGCTAAATCTCATGTCATGAAAGCGTTGACCCCTCGAGAGCTCACTTGTACCTTCAGCTCATATGGTTTTGGTAGAATGTCGGAACATCCTCTTGTGCCAGATTAATCTGCTGGTGGTCCTGGCGGACGACGTCCTTCCAACGGCTGCGTAGTCTACGCAAGGTCGTCTCTAGTTTGCTGATGGCGAGTCGAACTGGAGAGATGGCTAGTCAGGTGGTCATCTACTTAACGTAAACTTGAAAAACAACGACAGTGTATTTTTCTTATTAATCTATTTATCTTGTCTTCTGAGGGATTCAATTTCATTGTTCGTTTTTACAAGGGTGAATGCAAGCGTTCCCAGGCTGCAGTTTTGATCAAAACGTAGAGAAGCATATAAAGAGCCTTTTTTTCTGTCTGATGAAGACTAAACGCTACAACAGCTGAAACGCTGTGATAACAACAAAGATAAGGACAATAGTGTCATATAGGAAGAAAATGAGTAACTATCGTCACTGAGGTTCGAGTTATGAAGATATGCTTTTCGCCGGGTGTATAAATAGCGGTGTCAGGCTACTGACTGAACTGATTATTGAATGACTATTGAGTGGGACTATCCAGTCAAATTAATGTGCATTATTGTGCGTCAGTTATTTGGGATTTGATTTAGAATTTACCGGACGTTAAGCCGAGCCGCGCTACTAACAAGGTATTCACTGAAATGGAAAATTATCTTTGGTTGACTTACTTCTTTGTTCTTGTTAAGTATTTATTTGCGGTTGTAATTAAATACTGTTTTATCTTAACATTGAAGTCTTGAGTTATACTTAATTATTAACGGCCACCGCACGTCACAAAAATAGTCCGAATATAGTGTAAATAAAAAAAAACATTATTTTCAAGTTCGTTTAAGAAATAAAAACTTTCTACTTACATATGCGTCATCGTTGTACTCTGCTTCATCCGGATTAGAATGCAATTTCAGTTCCTGTAGAGCCCCCTGAAAATATGAGAATAAAAAAGACTGTCAAAATCTGATTACAATAATGCACTTCCGAACATAAATCAGATTTAGAAATTTTTAATTGTAACAGATATGTGTCAAGCACCAAAATGAATAAATATAGGTTCACATAACGACTGCAGCAACAGCAGGGTTGTCAACAAAAGTCCTAATCAGATGACGGCTCTGATTTCAGTCATAATTTCGGGATTCCAGCATCATTAATCCATGGCGCCACAGCGGTACCTCATCATATTAATAAGGTTTGCTTCTTCTCGATCATAGTGCGAGATTACCTGGTACAAGTAGATGCAGTTTCTGTTAAAAGTTTGAAATCTATCTCAATATCATCAGTCAGATATGTGGATGCTTTCTTTCCTTCCTTTCTTTCTTTTACCTCTTCTAAATTGGGATAGTGAATACGGGACGAAAAAGGGAAAAAACAGTGAGAGCAGGAAAAGAGAAACAAAAACAAAATGAACAAAGGAAAAAGCCAGGGAGAAATGGAAAGAAAAAAAAAAAACAAAAAAACATGGAGTAGACAAAGACTAAAAGCCCGAGTTTCTTTTTGTTTTTAGATGATAATGATGTACTGATAGAAGTCTTACTATTTAACCCATAGCGGGAGAGGAGAAGTTAATACATACCTTTTCCACGGATAATTGCGCATAAGAGAATATATCGAACCCAACTGGAATTAGAACTTGGCTCTCTAATTAACGATTTCGAACCATTATCCCTTACCACCCTCTTACAGCACCTGTTATTCCCAAGCGGTCACCCATCTAGGTACTGATCAGGCTAGACGTTGCTTAACTTGTGATCGTATGAGAATCAGTGTTTAATTTGAAATTCAGGTGTAAAAAAGCCGGAGAACAAATTAGGTGACAAGCTGTTCAAATATACGCGTGTGGAGAGGAAGGTGAATGACTTACAAAAGAATACGGGGAGAGCAGGGAGGTTGACGTAGCCTATGAGAAAAAGACGTTGATCACACGAGAATACATGAAGTAGACCGAGAAAGAAACGTGAAAAAAAGAAAAAGAAAACAAGATGAGTAGATAAAGGATATAAAAACAGTTTTCGGGTCAGTTACTGGAGGATGGGTAAAAATGACAACAATTTTGCTCATCTTACAAAAGATCAGCTAATATTGAGTGAATTTGGAACCAAGCTAAACTTTTTTTTTTCTTGCTTAGCAAAAATATTTCAGTTGAATGAAAAAGAAAAAAAAATATCGCAACAATAGGAATAAAACTGATTAGGCATGTTTTCTTCAAAACCAACAGTCAGCCTATGGTTTATATGAAAACCTTGGTTTGATAAAAAAAAAGTACGATAATGAACTAGGTAAGCTTGATATATTTAGAAAATATATTAGAATAATCTAGAACTTATACTGGGAGCAAACCGTCTGCATACGAAGAGAAAATTAAATCAAGAAATATATAAAAAAAAATAGAAAGAGGTGTAAGACAAAGATGTGTCTTCTCACCAGACTTATTTAATTTATATAGTGAGGTGATTCTGATTAAAAGTCCTACCAGGATTCATTATTGGTGGCCACAATCTTAAGATATGTAGACGAAATAGTGTTGATAGCAAACACAGAAAGGAAGCTACAGGAATTCCTACAGAAAGAAAGTGAGAAGAAAGGACGAAATATCGATTGCAAGAAGGCAGAATGCATGGTTGTTAGCATAGGAGCAGTCCAACGTACATATTGCAAATTGGAGATGCCAAAATAAAGCAAGTACAACAATTTAAATATCTGGGAACTCTTTTAAAAGATGTTGGAATGTGTGACACCGAAATCCGAAGAAGCATTGGAATAGTGAAATATGCCTTCCAAAAGCTATGCAAAGAATTAAGGAACAGGAAAATTTTGTTAGACGTAAAAAGACTACTGAGCTGTTATGTAATATCGGTTCTTCTGTATAGCAGTGAATTCTAGACAATCCCTTCATAGATGAAGAAGAGACTTGAGGCAACAGTAATGTGGTTCTAGACAAGGGTGTTTAATGAATAATGAAAAAAGAAGCTTAGAAAAAGTGACTCTCATAGAACAGATTGAAGGTAAGAAGGTATAGTTTGTTTTGTTTTACGGCATATCAACCTGAATGGGTTATTTAATGCCGACAAGATTTTTATTGCTGGTAATATTTTTCTTTACAAAATATGTATTGCTGGTAATATATTTTTTTTTTTTTTTTTACAAAATTGTATTGTTGGTAATATATTTTTTTTTTTTTTTTACAAAAATGTCTTGCTGGTAATATTTTACAAAAATGTCTTGCTGGTAATATTTTACAAAAATGTCTTGCTGGTAATATTTTGCAAAAATGTCTTGCTGGTAATATTTTGCAAAAATGTCTTGCTGGTATTAAAACCTATTTTTACCCTTTCCTAGTGTTTTTACCCCAGTTTGGGATTAACTATTTGCCCATAGCTGGCACCCTAATAAGTTGGACTTTGGGGGCTTACAGTACCAAGTGTTCCCAAGTGGTCCCCCAACCTCAACCCTTACCTCACAGTCGGTGGGTGGGGTGTAAACAGTAGTGTCAGAGCTATGCCGCCCGGAACTTCGTTCCTGGTAGGGCCACCCAAGGCGGACAGCTCCGACACACACGCCGGCTAACAAGGGCTCTGGTGAAAATCCAAGGAGCGTCTGCATCGGTAACAGGCGGCTTCTGGTCGTTCCTGTCTCTGCGTCTGTGGGAATCCCGCGGCAAGCAAGAACGTTATTCGAGTAGGCCTGGGTACCCTACTTCTGTAATTTATCCCAAGAATCTTCTCATAACAGGAAGAAACCGGCTCAATCCGCCCAGGGTGAATGCCGCATCAGTACAGTACAGTACCCTAATAAGTGCTACCATTCCGGTCAGGGTGGACCTGGGAACACCAGCAATTAACAGGCGGTTCCACGCTTCTAAAAATCTCTTGAGTCCTTGCTGTCGGATGTAGTCTATCGTCTTACCCAGAACACAAAGGCAAGAAGTAGTGAGGAAATAAGCACATAACCTACCTAACGATTTTGTTGTATATGGTTGTCCGAACTAGAGATTAGGAGAGATTGCAAAATGGTAAAATTTACTAAGAGCTACAAAGAAAATGAGTGCCATGATCGCTCATGTTCTGAGGAGACACAGCACATAGAAGACACCGAGTGTACATTAGTTACATTTTCTGTGAGGCAGTTCACAATCTGGAATGATTGCTGGTTGAGCAAATCTAGTTCGCTGAAACCGCAGATTATTTTGACTTCGTCTCAGCGCAACCAACGACGTCTTCCGAACAGTTTTTTCTATCTAGTCTCATTCAAGTCCTAGGCTACCGCCTGGTATTATCTTCAAACAATTACCAAATGTGCCAGACGCTGGGATTGTCTCCCTAAGCTGATATTATCAAGAAGTCACCTTCTTGACAAATCGAGTATGTAGTGATTCGAATCTGGGTCTTACAGTGACATACCAATAGGTATCACAAAACGTAACGAAGGTAAAAAGATGGAACTGTAGTGATACCCATCACTATAAGGTGCCATGGGAGCCAAACAGAAGATGCTGGCAGAACAATTACAGAATTAGAGAACTTATATAGAACTGAAATCGTCTTATATTGTTCAATATTTTTTCGAATCATTTCAACCCAGGCAAGGCAAGAAAGTCACTACGATGCGATAGTAAGATTGAAAGAAAGAGAAGACAATAAAAGAATATGATTCAATACGAGAGGATGATGATTGATATTACATTTAATTTTTGGAGGATCGTCGTTGACAGGAAAACAGAAAGGCGGAAGAGAGTTCCACAAGCTACAAGAGAAGAGACCATTAGCATAGAACTTATGGTTACAACTAGCAATTTCAACAGTGAGATTATGAGACCTAACTGCCAATCTAGTACTGCACTGAATTAAAGTACTAACTAGAAAAATTTTGTCAGAACAAGTATCGGTATAGTATTTATATAAGAAGCAAAGTGAATCTAAGTTTCCGCAGTGGGAAAGTGATTAAAGCCGAGATGCCAGGTCAAAACAGATAAGGATCTTGATAAAAGTGCTGGTGATTTGAGGAATTTGATTTCATTCGGCCCTTACCTGTTAACCCCCAGATAACTCTCGTGTGTGGATAATAATAAAGACGGGTGCAAAAACAGGAAAAAAAAGTACAATTTATAAAGATAGAGATTGCTGACCAGAAAGAAAAGCTGACCAGAGAGAAAGACAGGCGTCTCGTGTTCAAGTATACATTAGCCTAACATGACAAGTGGTACAGTATTTAGCACTCTGACGACTCGTTAAGAACAGGAGTCAGGAAACATACGGAAAAGTGCAGAAAACAAAAAACAGAAAAAGCCGAAAGAAGCGCTAATGTCAACGACGCAGACGAATTTAATCCAAGTGGACACATGCAAAAGAGGAAAAGGAAAATCTTACACGACGTTAGAAAATAGACTTGTATGCCTTGTAATGTTGACAAATGGAAATAATGTGCTATGTGGAAGGGAGCGACAAAGACGAAATTTACTTGCGATACATGCCAACGTCGCCTGCGATAAAAGGCTGCATTAATTTATTTGCCTACTCATGAGATATATTGAAAACCGGTTTAATATGGATACTCCACACACATATATATTTTTTTTTTAAATTGGCAGTTTTTAATTTTAATATCAAATTTTATAATATAATTTTATAATTAATGGTTAGTATAAATCCTTTTAATATTACCCGTACTTTAAAGATCTGAATAGCTATTATAACATGATTTCGTTGTCAAGCTTTTGAATCTTCCTATACTTGGAATTTGATTGGTCATTCTAGCTTTTGTAACAGTGTTTTCCCCTAGTGAAGGATCGTTAATTTGAAACTTTTAAAACCATTTATTTTATCTTTAACATCATCACTTAATAAGACACCGAGGGTGTTGAAACAAAATGGCTATTTTTGTAGTGATTTTATAACATATTTATGTTATAATTTTTTTTTCAAATAAA